TGAGACTCAAAGTGAGTACAAGGTAAGTCTCGCAACTGCACCTGGGTCAGACACACGTCCTGTTCAAGGCAGAACTTGCTTCAGACTCCGAAAGCAACGCCGTTCTAAGAAACATGAACAACCAAAGCTGTGATAATCTCCTGTATTAGCCAATCATTTATGCTGAAAATGCCATAGAAGGGAAGGGGAAGAGAGGGCACCCCAGGGTTCCTTTTCCTCTCCGTCCGTCCTTAACCATCAGCAAGCCAAAGACAGGGACTTGGTAACACGTGCACACAGCAAGAAGTGAAATAAAGGCAGTTGTTAGTTTTGTGCAGGTTTTAACTTCTCTACTAAGAATGAGATATATATCCATATACAGAATACAAAATAGGAATTGTGTGATTTCAGTGATTCCAATGCGGGTTAACTGCTTCTATATTTGCATTCTTAATAGGCATATAATATAATGATGAACAGTAAAATTCATGCTAATTTAAACACTTTTATTTTTCTTTACTTAGAATGACACTAAATAACAAAAAACACTATGAGAGAGAGAGACTATGAAAGGAAAAAAGCAATGTTTTCCTACCTTTAATGATACCTCTTTTTGCTTTTTTGATCAAGAGTTTTACATATTCATTTTGCACTGGTCTCTGCTAATTATGTAGCCAGTTCCATCCTGGCATATAGCAAGCACTCCATAAATGTCTGAATAAAGCAATGAATGCCCCTACAGCAAATACTGATGAAGCCCTGCTGGGTGGGGGAAGTCGCTGGCACAGGTAAGGTGACCTGTGCTTCTCTCCCAGCTCTCAGAGACTGGCACAACCACTAACCACTAACCCAGCTCCATTCTCTTATCAGCAGAAGTCCACATGGGGCAGGAACTTCTCTAACAAGAGCCTTTTTTTTTTTTTTTTTTTTTGAGATAGAGTCTGCTCTGTTGCCCAGGCTGGAGTGCAGTGACACAACCTCGGATCACTGCAACCTCTGCCTCCCAGGTTCAAGTGATTCTTCTGCCTCACCCTCCCAAGTAGCTGGAACTACAGGCATATGCCACCACACCCAGCTAATTTTTGTATTTTTAGTAGAGACAGGGTTTCACCATATTGGCCAGGCTATTCTGGAACTCCTGACCTCATGATCCACCCGCCTTGACCTCCCAAAGTGCTGGGATGACAGGTGTGAGCTACCACGCCTGGCCCAACAGACTTTTCTTTCTTTTTCTCTTCTTTTCTTTTTTTTTGAGATGGATTCTTGCTCTGTTATCAGGCTAAAGTGGAGTGGTGCAATCTCGGCTCACTGTAACCTCCAACCTCCTGGGTTCAAGCGATTCTCCTGCCTTAGCCTCCCGAGTAGCTGGGACTATAGGTACATGCCACCACACCCAGCTAATTTTCTGTATTTTAGTAGAGATGAGGTTTCACCATGTGGGTCAGGATGGTCTCGATCTCCTAACCTCGTGATCTGCCTGTCCCAGCCTTCCAAAGTGCTGGGATTATAGATGTGCGCCACCACACCCGGCCCCGAGAGCCTTTTCTACCCATTGCCATTCTCCTTGCAAAAGCCCACAGGCCAACAGGAGCTACTTACAGAGCTTGGGGCTTAGACATGAAGAACAGCTTCCTGGTGATACGCTACCCAAGGTTTGCCCCCATCTCTGGACTCCCTGTGCCCTGTTCACTGCTGCCTTCAATCCCAGACCCGCCACTGCGCAGACTGCTTCCTATCTGTTCCTCTGAGTCAAGGACTGCTCTTGGGCATTTTCTAAAAGTAAGAACTAAAAGCTACATGACGGCCCAGATGTGGTGGCTCACACCTGTAATCCTAGCACTTTAGGAGGTCAAGGTGGATGGTTGGTTAAAAGACCAGCTTGGGCAACACGATGACAGCCCAACTGCTGTATTATATATACACACACACACACATATACATATATATATATATATAATTTGCCAGGCGTAGTGGTAAATGCTTGTAGTCCTAGCTACTTAGAAAGCCAAGCAGGAAGGATCACCTGAGCCCAGGGAGGCAGAGGCTGCAGTGAGCAGTGATCACACCACTGCACTCCAGCCAGAGTGACAGAGGAAGACCCTGTCTCAAAAAACAAAAAAAGTGAAAGCCACACAGTGATCTGCCCAATTCACTGAGAAACCTGGAAGATGCCATGGACTTCATATACTTGTGGCTTATCTTTGCTGAAAAAAAAAAACTAAAGAAAAGAAAATAGACTGCTTCCGACACTTCACTTTGTGATTTGTTTCCCCTTCTAAACACAGAGGAGCAGTCTTTCCTCCCACCTCCCTCTGTTCTTCCAGCCAGCATCATGAAACAATGTGCTTTTGTGTTCTCTGTCCTTTGCAGGTTGCAGCTTTGGCGGTTCTAATCTACCCTCCCAGAGAAGTGCTATTTAGTTAGGAGTGTTTCTAACAAAAGCCAGGTGTCTATCCACTTCCCCTGGCCTTCTGGTTTGCCCTTCAACTCAGCATAAAGTTCTGGGGTTAGCCAGTGTGGCATCATGGTCCCCTCCTACTGATCTTGCACTGCCATAGTGATGATCGCATGTGCACAGGCACGCACAGAGATCCAGTCAGTCGCGGCGACCCTGGGCTGAGCCTGCCGAGTGCCCGGCTGCCTGCATGCGCCATCTCATTGTTTAATTTATCAGAACAAGCCCCTGTGAGGGGAAAAGTTACAATCCCCATTTCACAGAAGAACGAGCCAAAGCACAGAGTGGCTAGGAAACTGCTCATGAGTGATGGGTGGGAAACGAACGCAGGGTCCTGACTCTCAAGTCCACGTCCCTCACTCCCCACGCTGTTCCGTCCACACCTGGGCACATGCACGCCCGAGCGTCCCCAGTGGCCAAGCACAGTGGTCTCCCTTAACAGCAGCTCCTCCTGGCCGTGAAATCACTCTGCATTCTTCCCAGTATCCTTTTGTTCTACTGTACCTAGTGACATCCACTGGGTGCAGATTTAAGAATTCCTCTTCCTCTTGTTAGATTTTTCCCTTCCATCCCATAGATCTGTTTGAATCCAACCGTCTCCAGCACTTTCCGAGACCAGGAAGTGCCTCAGAGCACATAGGGAACCCCATCACACCCCAATACAGATCCCTGGAGCCCCAGAGTCACTGAGTGGGGACCTCTAGAGGTGAGCCCAGGAATCTGCATTTCCCGGACTCTGCCCTGCAGGTGCAGATACACTGGCGTTTGCGAACCACTGAGTCCTTTACCCTTATTGGTGCGCTGCACCAGAATCACCTGGAGTTATCGAAATGCAGGCTCTGGTTCAGCAGGGCTGGGGCTGGGCCTGGGCCTGAGATTTTGTTGATACAGCAGATCCTGGGGCCACACACTGAGTAGTGAGGGTTCAGGTCAGTGGTTCTCAGCCCTGACTAAACATTAGCATCACTGGGGGAGCTCTTAGAGCTAAGCTGCCTGGGCCCTGCCCCCAGAAATCATACAATTATTTTAAAATCAAACCAGTGTGCCCCGACTCAATGTGCTGAATCTGACTTGTCCTGGCTTGCGAAAGCCTAATGTTACATTTTTAGGAATTTTGTGAACCAGTTGATAAACAGAACCACTACTAACCATCAAATTACATAAACAGAATTAAATAAATTAGAAGAAAGACAGTACATAATTACAACCCAGCATTTCACTCCTTCTATGTTCTTAGGGTTATTTTTATCTATTTGATTGTTTGCCTACCTGTGTGGTGGAAGGGCTACTTCGTATTTCTTCCCAATTCTGCACGCAGTCAGTGACATAAGCCTTGGTGGGGGTGTTTCTGCCTCGGAAAACTGCAAACGCTACAGATCAGGGTTTTGCTTCCCCAGAAAGCTGGCTTCTAGACTTTTACCAGCGCACCTGCTGCCCCTAGTTACTCACAGACATTGTAATCACCTGGGATGCCTGATAAAGTGCAGACAGCTGGCGTCTACCTAAGATGCCCGAATCCGACTATCTGGGCATGGGAATTGGGGATCTGGGAAGTTTTTAGAATAAGTGACCCAGGTGACCTTCTATCTACAGTGAAGTTACTTTAGAATAATGATCAAATCACCCGTGGCCTCGTGGCGCAACAGCAGCACGTCTGACTCGAGAATAATGATCAAATCTTCCTAATTAGCAAAACTCAAGTTGGATTAAGCTACTCACTGGGCACCCATTTCTTTTTGCTCTAAGAAATCATTTCCAAGGCCTTTTGAAAAGCCTTTTTATCTGAAATCCCGTGAGTGGCTATTCCATCAAAATCCTGAGCAGAGCACTTTTTCTCCCCCAGACATGGACAGGAGGTTGTATCAGGAAGCTCAGCAGAGGCCCTGTCACCTAGTTGTCCTTGCGTCTTACCTCACACCCAAAAGCATCAGGCTGTCATTTTTCCCTAATAAAGATGATGTGCTGGTCAGAATTTTCGATGCTCCAATGTCTCATCAGGCTTGTGTTCAAGCTCAGACCCTTTTGAAATGGTTAGAAAGAACTGAGTCAAGAAACTAGGCTATTAAATGAAAGTTCTACCATCCAGGTATGGTGGTGGACGTCTGTAATCGCAGATCCTCAGGGGGCTGAGGCAGGACTGCTCGAGCCAGGAGGTCAGGGCTGCAGTGTGTTGTGATGGTGCCTATGAATAGCCGCTGCACTCTGCCCTGGCAACATAGCGAGATCTCATCTTTAAAAGAAAAAGAAGTTCTGCCAAGTCATATATTGTAAATCTTCATGGAAATTGGCCAGAGTTTGCCATCCCTGGAATCATGAAACTGGGGAAAAGTGGTGGGAATGATCCCATAACTCTTGTGTTCTAACCGACAGTTCTTCAGCCCAATATTTTCCTCACTTTAGGTAAGAATTTACATTTATTTCCTCACCTGTTGCTCCTGCTAACTGACAAATGGGTATCACCATGTTACAAAGGAGTACCTGGTTTGCTATAAGAAATTTGCTAGGTGAGCAACATTCCTCAAGTCTAAACCTCTAACAATGTATATCAATTAAAAAAAAAAAAAAAAACTTGGAACACAAACACTTGATTTAAAGGTGCAGCTCAATTTACGTGTGGTGGCACAAAATAAAGGCACAGATCGTGACACACCATTTCCATCGGCCAAGTGGCTGAACCCACCATCCAAGACCCAGTGAGGAGTCAAGCTCAGCGCAACCTCCGGGCCTCCCACTCTGACTCCAACAGGGGGAGCACGTCGCCCTCACACACAGGGCATCTTACATTGTGGATGATGGAGCGGCTTGTGTCATCCATAAATTCCATGTGCACCTGTGTGCACTGTCCCTGAGAACTGGTCTTGCCCAGGACCTAGGTGACACTGACCAGCTTGATAGGCTGAACACAGCTGGTATCCATGATGGTGGCTAGGTAGTGATCTGGCTGAAGCGTATATCAATTTTCTGTTGGTACATAACAAATTACCACAAACTCAGCAACTTAGAACCACACACATTTATTATCTAGTTTCCATGGGTCTGGGGTCCAGAAAAAAGAGTTAATTGCATCCTCTGCTCAGGGACTTCCCAGGCTGAAATCAAGGTATTAGCTGAAATTGCAATTCCCATCTGAGTTTCTGCCAAAGCCAAGTACCACTTAGATTATTATTTACTTAAATATTTCATTAATAAACTCACTTTTTATACAATTTAGTCTTGTCCTAAGCAATATCTATTAAATTGCCAAGGTTGATCATCAAGTTTTCCTTTTTTCTTAATATGTTCAAATAAACGTATCACTATTAAAAGTTTTAAGTGTGGCCGGGCGCGGTGGCTCAAGCCTGTAATCCCAGCACTTTGGGAGGCCGAGGCGGGTGGATCACGAGGTCGAGAGATCGAGACCATTCTGGTCAACATGGTGAAACCCCGTCTCTACTAAAAATACAAAAAACTAGCTGGGCATGGTGGCGCGTGCCTGTAATCCCAGCTACTTAGGAGGCTGAGGCAGGAGAATTGCCTGAGCCCAGGAGGCGGACGTTGCGGTGAGCCGAGATCGCGCCATTGCACTCCAGCCTGGGTAACAGGAGCGAAACTCCGTCTCAAAAAAAAAAAAAAAAAAAAAAAAGTTTTAAGTGTTCCATCTAAAATTGTCTTGTGCACTGATTGTACCCACACCACACTTTACAATTATTCCCCGTACCACACCTGGACTTCATGACGCCACATCCTACACTAAGAGGCCCCAGGTATAACAAATGATTTTTGTTGCCCACCAGCTACAGAGAATCTACAAGGTCCAGGACCCAGGTAAGTGGGAAGCCTGCAGATAGGTGCCTGTTTTTTCATAAAGAGGCCTCCCTACATTAGATATGCACATTATCAGCACTGGAAACAAATTTCCACAACGTGTCCTCAAATGTATGCAGACATTCTAAGAAGCTTAAGAAGGCCGGGTGTGGTGGCTCACGCCTATAATGCCAGCACTTTCAGGGGCCGAGGCGGGTGGGTCAGCTGAGGTTGGGAGTTCGAGACCAGCCTGGCCAACATGGAGAAACCCCGTCTCTACTAAAAATACAAAATTAGCTGGGATTATAGGCATGCATAGTGGCGCATGCCTGTAATCCCAGCTACTCGGTAGGCTGAGGCAGAAGAATCACTTGAACCTGGGAGACGGAGGTTGCGGTGAGTTGAGATCACGCCATTGCACTCCAGCCTGAGCAACAAGAGTGAAACTCCTTCTCAAAAAAAAAATTAAGAAAGAAAGAAAGAGAAAGGAGGAAGGAAGGAGAAAGAAAGGAAGAAAAACTTAAGAAGTATCTTCCAATACGCCATGTCATTTAATCTTCACAAATTGTGAGGTAGTCACTATCACCCACCTCACGGGCAAGGAAATTGAGACTTGGGAAAGTTATAGGACAGACTGAAATGCAAATTTATAAGTCCTCTGATTTCATTCAACACTGTTTTCCATAGCATCATCACTTTCTCCAAACAACCTGCTACTTCTCCACCAGTGACCATTTTTCTTTCTCTCTTAGTGACAGAGCTCACATTCCTAGCAGCTGTGTGTTGTGGCCGAGCACATGGCCACTAGGAATAAAGACTGCATTTCCCAGTTTCCTTTGCAGCTAGGAGTGGTCATGTGACTCAATGCTGGCCAATAGGGCTGTGAGTGGAAGAAATGCCTGCAACTTCTGGGAAGGGGCCTTCAAGTGAATAATCTGTCTTTGTCCTTTCTCCTTCCTGATGACCGGAATGCAGCTGAGATGGCAGGAGCTGTAACAGTCCTCTTGGACAATGAAGTAACCTTGGGTAATGGAAGATACACACAGGGAAGTAACAAGCCACCTGGAGACTTCATGTTGCAGAACTTCCCTGCCAGCCCTGCACCACCTCCCCCTGGACTGTGACAAGAGAGTGGGATAAACTTCTACCTTATTGAAGCTACTGTCACTTGGCTCTCTGTTATTCACAGCCAAACCTTTCATAACAATATAAAGTCATAACAAGGAAGGAAAATGCCAAAGTTCCAATGTCCCCATTTTACAGAAGAACTCCCTTATTTGTTTTCCTGGAAACAGAACACCCGGCCCTCAGTGGGCCTATGGGAGAAGAGAGGTGGCTTCACTCAGGATCCCCAGACAGCACCCGGTAAACACCCACTCAGGTAGAGCCTGGACCCAAGTCTTCAGGACCTGCCACCTACAAGCAATCTGGGGCCGCAAAGCAGTTTGTTCTGACAGCTCCTCTTAATGATATGTTTCCTGCAAGCCAGCTCCTCACCAGGAACTCAGAAACACAAAGTCAAAGCAGCCCTACCGGGCACTGACAAATACCGATCAAAGCCAGCAAGGCTGGCAGAACTCTGACACCTCCTTCCCGGAGCTTGCCTGAGAATTTGGGAAATAGCATCTGTTGGTAGTAGAGGGCAATTCAAACTTCATTAAGAGATGGAGAGAAAATGAGCCCAAGCCAAATAATGCCCACCAGAGATGGCAGGAAGGGAGGGAGCCATTTTTGGCAGGAACACATTGGGCAGGCATGGAAGGTGATTTTGGACAGAGGAAGGAAAGAACAGACATTTCTTGGAGCATCTCCAATGTTGACTCAACTCGGTTGGGTCTATAGAGCTGGTCCAGCCCCTGGAGCTCTGTCGTGGCATTTTCTCACTTCTCAAATTGTTATTTCACCCTTCAACAACAACTAAAGGTGGAATCCTTCCCAATAGCAGCTACCTCCAGCCCCAGCTCCCCACTGGATTCTTCCCAGGCAGTTTGCCATGATGCTGCCAATATACGATTTCTGTATTATTGATTCTCACTGCCTTTTTCCGTTAGCTCCAACAAGAGAGATGATACTGTTAACCTAGTAGAAGGAGAAGCAATCTATTGGATATCAGTATTCAGAACTGGAGAAATACCGATGCTGTGTTTGACCTAGGATGGGGTTACATCCTGATAAATCCATTGTAAGTTGAAAATACTGTAAGTCTAAAATGCAATTAACACACCTAACCTACCGAACATCATAGCTTAGCCTAGCCTATCTTAAATGTGCTCAGAACACTTGCATTAGCCTACAGTTGGGCAAAGTCATCTAACACAAAGCCTATTTTATAACAACGTCTTGAATATCTCATGCAATTTATCGACTACTGTACTGAAAGTGAAAAACAGAATGGTTGTATGGGTATGGTTTCTTTTGAATGTGCATTGCTTTTGAAACATCATAAAGCCATAAGTCAAACGGTCAATTGTAATGGTAACCATTAATTACTATTTATCGATTGCTCACAATGTGTCAGTCATTGTGTTGGGTAATTGATATCTTTATTGGCTAATGTTTATGAAGTTATTTACTATATGCCAGGCACTATGTTAAACACACACTTTACATGTATTAACTCATTTAATCCTCTCAATAACCCTAAAAGGTAGGTAATATTCTTATCCCTATGTTACTGATGAGAAAACGGAGGCATAGCACTGGGGGAATTTCTCAATCACAAAGCTAGGAAGTGGATAAAGTCAAGACTGACCCATACAAAGCATTTCCTGCCACCTGAGGGGTGAAAAACATGAACAGGTACAGAATTGTTCATTCAGTGAAAAATTATTTTGGGGCTGAGATAATAAGACTTACAAACATTTGTGCGCCCATCACTACAGCCTTTTAGCCAGCTTTATCTTTCTCAGAACTTGGCGCTATAATATGAATTGTTCATGATCACGATTCTACCTTCACATATATCAACTACATGAAGGCAAACATTTTTTTTTCCTGTTTTCTTGTTTTTCACTGAGACAGAGTCTCACTCTGACATCCAGGCTGGAGTGCAGTGGTGCGATCTCGGCTCACTGCAACCTCTGCCTCCCAGGCTCAAGTGAGTCTGTGCCTCAGCCTCCCAAGCAGCTGGGATTATAGGCGTGTATCACCATGCCCAGCTAATTTTTGTATTTTTAGCAGAAATGGGGTTTTGCCATGTTGGCCAGGCTGGTCTCGAACTCCTGGCCCCAAGCAATCAGCCCACCTCAGCCTCCCAACATGCTGGGATTTTGCCTGGCCCTTTTTTTTTTTCTTTCTGTTTTCTTCAGTGCTATTTCCTCAGCTCCTAGGGCAGTGCTAAGCACATAGTAGGTGCTCCGTTAATAATGGAGGAAGGAAAAGAAAGAGAGGGTTGGAGGAAGGGGAGAAAATGTCAAAGAATGTTTAAGAGCATGGAACACTGGAGAAAAAGCAGCTCTGAGGCTAGAAAGCATTATAGGGAAAGAGGGGACAGGCAAGTAGGTCACACACAGAATAAGCCACTGGGCCCACACTTGAGTGGGGGTACAAGGAAAAACTCTGAAACAGACTTTGATTGGAAACCGTGGCCTATAAAACTGACTCGAAAATGATACAAAGAAATTGACAGTTGGCCTTAGCTAGGGTAGACAACAGGGTGTGGTGGGGACAGCATCAAACTGGAAAAGCCATGCTTTTTCTGGCGGGGTGATGCTGCGGGAGGTGGGGTGATGCTACAGGAGAGGAGGCGAAGGGGCTGCATTTGATTCCAACCAATTTGTCACAGCAGAAAAATTTGATTTTTTTGCAACCTCAAAATCATATTTTTGTGAAATATTTTAATTTTCTGTGTTGGCATCAAATTCCAAGTTATCAAATGCTATAGGAATGTCGGGGGGGGGAGGTGGGTCAAGTGATTGAACGAACCCACCCACACATAATTATAAAATCTGGACAACATATTTTTAAAAACAACTACTTGAAGGCTCTGGAGACCAACCAGAAGCAGAGAAGCAGAGGAAGCTAAGTGTGGGATTTGCAGATTAGTGACTTTTTGCCTGAGGGTACTCACCCATCCACAAGCAGCTGAATGAATAAAGCTGCCGTTTACTGGCTGGAGGTGTCACAGATTGAAGG